TTTAATTTAGGATTTGAATGACCAATATAATTCTTATGAGTTTGGGGCCTCAGTGAGAAATCAATAGTCAAGTTTCTGATAAATAACCATTTGTATCTGCATGTCATCACATAGTTGCCAATGAAGGCTTTAATATGAAACACTAACAGGAGGATGGGATAGAAATTAAAGTAGATGAAGTATTTTCATATTTTGTCAAGGGAATTAGTATGTTTAAAAAAGCATTGCAAATTATGTTTGCATGTGCGAGTGATCCACCACAGTAAGACCAGGTGTGATAATACATCAGCTCCACTACAGGAGGGACTTGATGTTCTCTGCAATTAAGTGGAAGAAAGACGTGCATATATTATTTCAGCAATCAGCCTTAAAGAGTTGGACAGATGTCAGAAAAAAATCCAGATGTGATGCAGACATTCTCAGTGCTGGAGTGTGGATTCTTTTTTCTTATTGTCTCAGTGTAAGTGGAAGCTTTGCCAGACAGTCTTAATAATTGTCATCTTAATGATGCTTCAGTTCATAACAGCGCAGAAAGAGATCAGAATATGAATGACCTGATGGAAGTGGCTCATAGCTTACTCTCAAGCTCACTAATCACATTTCAGGAGGGCGCAGAGGGAGAATATTTTTTCTGCTGTTGTCAGATCAATTCTGCACAGCCCATCCGGCACCATCTATAGGGACCAGAAGCAACAGCAGCGATGGTGCAGTCACCCAGAAGCAGACATTCGCACAAAGAAAAGAGGCTGTTTTAAGATTGAGCAAGTGTCAGAGCTACATTTTTACTTTGAAATAGTTGTTGTTTTACATGTAGACTGATCAACAGCTTCATTCCACGAGCTGTCAGAATGCTGAACCGCTGATCTGGACATGCAAACACTTCTTTATTTAATTGCTTTTACTTTTTGGATCCTGAAGAAACGCTCTCTCATCTTATTTGTACTACTGTTGCATGTACAGCAAAATGACAACGAACTTGATTTGATTTGATGTACGACATGTCAGGCAAAACAAGACGCGTGGATATCAAAGGTGCCTTGTGGAGTTTTCATGTAAATGCATGTTTGCATTTGTTATTTCTCCCCAAAATACATACAGTATTGCTGAGCTCTAAGACATTTTAAGTGGCATTATATCCTCTTCTTTGAAAACTTGATTCAAAAAAAGTTTTTATTCTGTGCATTGTTTACATCCATATTTTCTACCTGAGAGTCTTGCACCAGATGTCTTGTCATACAGCAGTACAGCTTAACACTGTGTAGAGGTGGAGGAAGTAATCCCACACTGAAGAAGTACTCTGTTACTAGTAGAAGCCCTGCATTAAAATGTAACTTAAGCAAAAGTGTGTAAATATGATGAAGAAAATGTTCTTAAAGAAACAAAAGTACTCAGTGTAGAAAAATGCACCCTGTGACTGTTCACTACTGTATGTTATATCATTAGATTATTGCTACTCACGCATTTATGTAAAATCCATTTCATTTTTGGTTGACTAATTTTAAGCTTAAATTATTTATTTTTTTTATTATGGCTTATTCTGCTGATTATTTTCTATTGATCAGTTGATTGTTTGGTTTGTCAAAAATCCTGAAAAGTTGTGTAAATGGTGGAAAATTGCTACCTATTGTCTGTGAATCGACCAGTTTGATCAATCAACTAATCGTTTCAGCTGTATAAACTGTTGGGGCGTTTATTTCATAGCAAAGCATCATATTTTACAAGTTCTTTTGAAAAAAGCTTAATTTGTTAAGTAACCATAGTAACTAAAACAGATGTGGAGAAATAAAACACAATATTTTCCTCTGAGATGTTGTGGAGTAGAATTAGGAAGTGATCTGACAATGAAAACACTTAAGCTCAAGTGCCTCAAATATTTACACATACATCTGTACTTGAGGAAATGTACTTTGTTATATTCCACCACTGCTTGTGTGCACAAATGATACAGATAAAACAGGGATTCTTTGCACAATTTTAATCTTCAGAAACAACGTTTTTTACAGTAGTGTCTTTTGTATGGTCACAGTCAGCTCCCTTTAGCCTGCAGGTCTCTCATTGAGTGTTTGGTTTCACTGGATGGTGTGCAGATGAATGACCTTTTTGTGATTAATGCTCTTTTGCTTGGGTCTAATCACCACAGTGGCTCTTGCTAACACCACTCATTATAATACATTCTCACAGAGTTGTCGGGTGCTGTTCCTGCTCTCCAGTACATCGAGTTCAAAATAAATCACTGGTTATGGCGGTAAAGTGCTGACTTTTAGTTTTGAGAGTGTTCACATCTGAGATAATTCAAGCTGATTGCCAGGACTTCCACCTGGTTGTCAGTGAGAAATGATAAATCTAATGCCCTATGATGCAGTGCAAATCAGAAAAATATGTCTCTGTCCAAACAATACAATGTGAACGATTACTGCAGATTGCTTTGGGTAAGTATTTCAGAACTCAATGACTCCGTGAATACCGAATTAGTTCACAAAAATCACATCTCCATAGCCAACAGTGGCAACTAAAGAAGTAACTCTTTCTTTCCTTGGTCAGCCTTCACGTTTTTCAGAAAGGAAACATTTCACACTGACCACGGGACACTCTGTTATTAGCTGCCTCTGTGTACTTTGCCAGCATGTTCACTTTCACACACGACTTTGCCAACTAAATCTTTTTATAGCTGAAGTCCTGCAGTCACATCTCAGATTTCATCGGGTCTAAATGGGTGTGTATGTGTTCTAGTTAAAAGGTTCTACTGCAGGTGCTAGATGACTGATCGGTTACTTAAAA